TTATTTTTTTATTTTGTATTTTTTTTCTTATTCTCAGTGTTTTTTATATATATATATATATTTTTTTTTTAAAGGAGAATTTATTTTGTACATTAAGTAGCAGGTTATCCTTTCTATTTTTAAATGTTTATTTCCTGATCTCAGTTTCTCACTTAGCTGTTGTAACATATTAAAATAAGGAATTAAGTAATTAACTAGTAAAGAAATCCAGGTTTGTTTGAACACTTTCCTTGTATAGTGTCCAAATAAAGCAGATGGAAATCATTAATGCTTGTTCTTATGCTAAGGGGGCTTAGCTGTTCCTTTGTGTGCCATGTTCTTGACTGTGCTCTCTGTGATGTGTCTATACATGTAAAACGTTATATCTGTACTTACATTTTTATCTGCATGTTGGAATGAAAAGGAAATTGTTGATTTACATAGCTATGATTTAACATCACAGAGAACACGCCGGGCAGTGATCTTTCAGATGATGAAGTGCGTGCTTTTACTTTACTATTTGTAGAAGAAAAACAACAGTGAAGACACTGTGCATTTACGCAGACTATAAATCTGATGAAAGCTACACTCCAAGCAAAATCTCAGTCAGAGTGGGAAATAATTTTCATAACCTTCAAGAAATTCGGGTATGTCTTTGGTTTTTTAAAAGATATGTGTTAATTCATTCTCTGGATGATAGTCATAAATTGTTAGTATTGAAAAACTATGTTACAGGATATTTTTATGTTCTTTTGAATTGTTATTTTTTTTTCTAATGTTTTGTTGTACAATTTTTAGGCATAGAGAAAGGCTAAAAAATTGCAGTGACTCCTAATATACTCACCTTTAGGATTTCTTAATTGCTTATGTTTTGCTATTTGCTTAACTAAAATCTGTTTTTTATATATTTCAGAATAAGTTACAGGTAGTTAATACTGTCTAGAGGTGCAGGAGTGGGTTTGTTTTCTCCATTGATTGAAAATTTAAAGGCAGGAAGGAAATGTTACCAGAAATTTTGGGGAGTCTTGGTGGAGCTACCATATGATACTGGGGAAATCAGGATCCCCATTTGGGTTCTTAATCTTATTAATGAAAAAAAAAAAAAAAGAAAAGAATGAGCTCATGGAAACTTGAGGACGGCTTATTAGAGTTAAAAAAAAAAAACAACAAAAACCTTCGAGTAGGCAAGCTGCATGTCTCACAGCTGCCGGAGAAGGAGAGTGGGGAAGAGGGAGAAAAGGCAGACAGTGCTGTGGTGCGAAGACTTTGAGAACAGTAGTACAGAAGCCCAGCGTACTAGGGAAAGCGCACTTCAGTAGGCTCTGGCTAGAACCTGAAAGAAAGAAGACAGAAGAGAAGAAAGAGGAATAAAGGCGTACATACCCAGCTGAATCTCTAACGTTATGGTGGCTGGTAGGAACTGTACTGGGGGCAGCAGTTTGGGACAGAAAAGTACATTATTTTAAGGTGAACCTGCTTCCTTAGGGTGGTCCCCTAGCCAAGTCCTTTACCTGCCCTACTGAATTAACTTAAAGGGAGACCATGGTCATTTCTCCACCTAGAAGTAGATTCCATTATTTACTGTAACATTTCTATATTTTACCCCAGATATGTCAGCATGATATACTAGTAGAGTTATCAATATTTACTTAATTTTCATTTAAAAAAAAATTATGTTAGGCGTGGTGGCACATGCCTTTTAATCTCAGAGGCAGGCAAATCTCTGTGAGTTCAAGGCCAGTCTGGTTTACATAGTGAGTTCCAGACCAGCTGGGGCTGCAGGGAGACCTTTTCTCAAAAACAAAAAAAAGACAAAATTTTATCACTTTTTTTTTTGAGACAGAGTCTCCCTGTAGCCCCAGCTGGCCTGGAACTCACAGAATCTGCCTGCCTCTGCCTCCTGACTGCTGGACTAAAGGCGTGCGCCACCACTCCTGGCTTTTATTTACTTATTTATTCATTTATTTATTTATTTTTTTATGTGTATGAGTGTATTGCCTGCATGTGAGTGCACCCGTGTTGTGCAGTGTCATGGAGGTCAGAAGAGCGCTTCAGATTCCCCTGGAACTGGAGTTAAGGACGGTTCGTAGCCACCATGTGGGTGCTGGGAACTGAACTTGGGTCCTCTGCAAGAGCAGTCATTGCTCTTAACTCCTGAGCCATCTCTCCGGCCCCACTTAATGTTCATTTTAAGAGGAAATTTATGTAGGGTTTTATATAAAATCTTAAGATTATTTGGCAACATTTACAAACATGTCTGTGTAGCCCTACTCCCTTAAAATGCAGAACGTTTTTTCTTGGTTTCCATCTCATAGAATGCTTTCTTTATCCCTTCATGCCAAGTCTGTGTATGTCCTTAAATGTAAAATGAGTCTTTTAAAGACAGCATGTAGTTAGTTGGGCTTTGATTATCCATCAGCCATTCTGTGTTTTGATTGAAAGATGTAATCTTGAGGCTGGAGAGCTGGCTTGGTGGTTAAGAACACTGACTGTTCTTGCAGAAGACCTGGGTTCGAATCCCAGCACCCACATGGCAGCTAACAACTGTCCATAACTTCAGTTCCAGGGGATCTGACAGCCTCTTCTGTCCTCTGCGGGCATTGTATGACAGGTGCACTTACCTACATGCAGGCAATACGTGCATACACATAAAATTTAAAAAAAATTAAAAAAAAGAAAGCTGTGATCTTCTGTAGTCAAAGTAATTATTAGTAGGCTGGGGACTATTTTGTCCATTACTTTCTGACTGTTTTCTAGGTACCTTCTTTTCTCTGTTTTTGACTTTGTGATTAGGTAATTTTTCCCATTGGTATGCTTTGGTTCTTAGTTTTTATCTTTTTCTACATAATAGCTTTGTGATTAGCATGTTGTATAGTAGAGATTTTATCGTTGTAACCAAGGCGTTATAAACTGGTAACAACTTGCTTTTGATTCCTTAACTTTGTATTTTTACTCTGGTGCCTTACATTCTGTTTTGATGTCAATAAACGTACTCCTCTCTCTGCTGTATTGTTCTGTGACTTTTCTTGGAGAAAACAAGAGAACAAGTATCTGTTGATCCTAGATAAGGCACTGAGGATATACCGAAGGAAAGAGCCCGTCCAAGTCTAGCTTAGGAATCAGTGAGTCTGTTGGGGTTACTTGCAGGAGTATGGGTGAGTGGTTCCTTACAGAAGCAGGGATGACTTAGAGGCAGATAAATCACTGAAAGCCTACTGCACCATGGGTGGTAACTCATGACAGCCGCATTCTCTAGAGCTCCCTGCCTAACTCCTTTCCCCAGGAACTAATTATTACTGCTTCTGTAACCTTAGAGAGGAGCCTTGTGAAGCTTGGATGATGGTTCAAGAGTCCCTTGAGACACGTAAATTTTGTTAACTTTCTGAGCTTTTTAAGTTTCATTACTTTCTGAGTTTTAAAGAGCCTCTCTCCTGGAGGGAATGTTTCAGCTGAGGGAACAGTTACACAAACATATCCCTCAACAACTTATTGTAGTTATTGTTATTTTTAAAAGTTCAGTCTTCTAACCTTCAAGCCAAAGGTATAAGTAATTGCACAATGCCATTACAGTATTAAGAATCTGATCATGAGCTGTGCATGTTGACCGTCACCTATAATCTCAGCACTTGGGAGGCTAAGGCAGAACATTTGCTATGAATTCAAGGTTAGCTTGGGGTATGCTGCATAGTGAGTTCCAGACCAGCTTGGCCACTAATTAGTACCCTTTTGCTTCAGGTAAAGAATTCTCTTTAGAATTTCTTTGTTTTGTGACAGAGTCATGGTATATGGCCCAGGTTGGCCTGGCCTTGAACTTGATGATACAGCACAGACTGGCTTTAAACTGGTGAATTTTCTTCTTTCTGAGTACTGGTATTATAGTTGTGTGCCACAACTAGCTCCCTTTAGCATTTCTTGTAGGTGAGATGGATGGATTTGTGATGGACTCCTTCCTCTTTGTTGTGGAACGATTTGCTTTCTCCTTTATTTCCGTATTCTTGGTTGGCAGCTTTTCCGCAGCAGTGTGTCCACGGTGTCCTCGCCTCTCACCCGGCGTCCTCACCTCTCACCTGGCCTATGTGGTTTCTGCTGAGAGGTCTGCCACACTTACTGGGGTGCCTTCATTTGAGTTTTGCTTCTTTTGTCTCGCCACTTTCAGTGTTCATTCTTTGAATTGTGACTGATTATGACGTGAATTGTTGTCACCTTTTTGTTTCTGGATTTTTGTCTTTTCCCCAGTTTGGAAAGGATTTTTATTTCTTTATTTTTATTTATGTATATTTGTGTATGGCTGTGTGTATGTATGCACACGTGTGCAGGTTCCCCTAGAGGCTAGATAAGGTTGTCAGATTCCGTGGAGCTGGGATGGATGCTGGGATGTAAACTTTTGTTCTCTGGAAGAGCAGCAAGTGCTCTGCTAAGCCATCTCTTCAGATTGGTTATTTCTGTATCTTATTTTATTTTATTTTATTTAGTATTTCTTATTTTATGTGTATGAGTGTTTGGCCTGCATGTATGTAAGTGTACCCATCTTGTATAGTGCCCATGGAGGCCAGAGGAGCTTTGTTGGATCCCCTGGAACTACAGTTACAGAGGGTTTTTAGCCGCCATGTGGGTGCTGGAAGCCGAACCCAGCTCCTCTAGAAGAGCAGTCAGTGCTCTTAACCTCTGAGCCATCTCCCCAGCCCCTGGGGCTTGTTATTTCTTTAAATGGGCTTCTGCCCATCTTTCTACTTGACTCCCATGGCCTGAATATTTATTTTTGTGAGCTGTCTCATAAACTTTGCAAGCTTTCTTCATGACTTTTCATATTTTTCTTCTCTGATATGTTGTATAATTATGTGATCTGTCTGAGTGCACAGATTCTTTAGGTCTTGTCTGCTCTTGGTGCTGTCTTGTGCATTAAAATTTTTTATTCACTGTAATTCTCAGCTCTAGAATTTATTTCATAAAGAATTTCAGTCTCCAATTTATTTTGGTTATTTATTGTTCTGATATTTTTGAATTATTTCTTACTTTCTGAAAGCTTATGAGTTTAAGGCAATTAGTTTGAATTTCAGGCACTTTATGACACTATTTCTTTAGTGTCGGTTATTGGTACTTTATTTTGTTCCTTTGGTTGTATATTTCACTGATTATTCTTTTTTTTTTTTTTTGGTCTTTTTGAAACAGGGTCTCCCTGTAGCCCCAGCTGGCCTGGAACTCACTATGTAGACCAGGAACTTACAGAGATCAGCCTGCCCCTGCCTCTCAAGTGCTGGGATTATGGGATTGATGGTGTGCACCACCACACCCAGCTTTACTGATTATTCTTGATTTGTATGGCATGACCTTACTGTCTTTGTACTCGAAGAACGAAATTATTCCAGTCATTTTTGAAGATTGACTCTGTTTAAGAAAGCTCATCATCAGCCAGCCCATTCACAGATTCTGGGAAGGACAGTTGGTATGATCCATGGGTATTTTTGCTGTTGGAGTCCTCTGGCAGGCTGGCCTGCTTCCTGATAGGTCAGCTGATTGGGTGAGTCTGGTAACTTAATCTGAAGTGGTGAGCCTTTTAAATCCACAAGAGCAGGAGTGGAGCTTGTTTCTGCAAGGGACAGCCAGAAGGCTTGTGTCCACAGGGGCTGACATGGCCCTATGGTAGCCT